AATATCAATATTTTAGAAATTATCGTAAGAATTTTAGACGTAACTGTTGATCACAGATGACTTTTTTTAGTAGAAAAGACTTATACAAATTCAACATAAAAGAAAAGACTTATTTAACCAGTTGCTACGTCATCTTTAACAATATTTGCATCGATTACTTAAATTTCAATTATTCTTGGTCTTGTCTTATTATTCTATATCTTATTATTAAGAGCTTATATCTTATTGTTAAGAGCTGGTGTTTCACATGTGGTCCCATATAAATTTGATCGAGGTCAGACCAATAGTTTTTGAGTTATCCTTAATTATTTATATTAAAGTCGGTTGTACAAAATTTTTAATTATTATCGTAGTAAGTCTTGTATGATATCCCCTTTAAAATCATTACTTTTTAAAATTATTATTTTTTGTGTCTCACTACCAATGCTTTTCTAATATATATTTAAAAAAAAAAGTAGTAAATTACTATTAGCGTCCTTTCAACTTCAAATGACCTTTCCAAAATATGTAAAATTGTTAAATGAATGGCAGTTTTTTTTTAATTTATTAGGTTGGAAAGACGCAAATAGTTATATGCGTCTTTCCTTCGATGTTTTTGTGTTGCCAGGTGTATTTTTTAAGCTAAGATGAAAAGGGAAATTCGTTTTATTTAAATAAATAAACAAATTTAAAAAAAAAATAAGTTCGTCCTTAAAATCTTCATGTCTCTACGTATATATTTCAATATAGATACCTTTTAATATACTTTAGACACGGGGTCTGAAAGAAAAATTCATCAATTTATTTTTTATTTCCATTTTACGTTTTTGTTAGTTACTTCCTTTTTTATTATGACGGCAGAATGCCTAACCCTGTCGCCTCACGATTGTGACGCAGTAATTTTCAGCCTTGACGGGGTTCGTTGGTTTTAGTTTTTGAGACAGTTTCGTGTTGATTTTGTACACGCGTGCGCGAGCGACAGTTCAATCGTTTTGTTTAATAAATTTACTTGTGATTACGTGTTGATATTAAAGTTTTTGTTACGTTTTTGGATTCTTTTTTGTTTTAATAATGCCTAACGCGTACGTTTATAGTGGTTATTATACTGCCGTTGGTTATTATATCAGCAACAACGTGTGCCTGGTTCCATTGAGCACATTATCTGGACGGATGAGCCGACATTTACCAGAAACGGCCTGTGGAACCGAAGAAATACACACGTGTATTCAGAGGTTAACCCGCACGCTGTTCGACAAACCGGGCACCAAACCCGATGGTCGGTTAACGTATGGACAGGTTTATTTAAGGATCGCATACTGGGACCAGTGTTTCTGCCAGAGCGACTGAACGGACAGCGATACCTAAACTTTATAAATGAACAGTTGGTTGACATTTTAAACGACCTATCGTTGGCTGAATATCGCCGCACATAGTTCCAACATGATGGTGCCCCTCCACATTTCGTGAGGTTCGTCCGTGAGCGCCTCAATGAGCTATTTGATGATCGCTGGATCGGCAGACTAGGACCACACGCTTGCCCACCTCGCTCACCAGATCTGACTCCGTTAGACTTCTTTTTGTGGGGTATGTGAAAGAAAGGGTTTTTAATCGTGAATGTGATAGTGCTGAAGAAATGCGCCAAAGGATCGTGGATGCTTTCGAGAAACTACGTACGGACTGTGTCGAAGACCACACGATGATGCCCCGCCTGCACCCAAGTCTGCCTTGAAATGAATGGAGCACAATTTGAGCCGCATCTCATAAGACCACGGAGGATTTAGAGCAGTAAGCTGTTTCATAACTATTTTTTTTTAAATAACTTAGTACTAGACTAATCTGAATAGGTACATAACTGAATACACGAGAATAATAAACATACCTACACGATGAATAAAAACGCATGACTCCAACCTTGGTTACATTTCATTTAAGTATTTCTTCATTAGCGGGGAATCGAACCAGTTATTTGGGTTATTTAACCTGTAAATTCGGATTAAAGTGGCTACGTGGAGATAAGCCCAGTGGCAAAATAGTAGGTTAAGTAGATAAGTTAGGTATTTAGACACGTGTTGTAAATTATTAGGTATTGTTGGAAGGCCCGCTAGTTGCGGGCCGCGCGAATTTGTGTTCGCGCGTACATTGACCTTTATCTAGCTCAGGTCAGGTGATATCAATTCAGTCATTCCACTGCTGGTTTTATGTTTCAGTATTTTCATGATATTTTTTATGAAATTATCGTTTCATTTAGCTGTACTAACATGATGGCGCGTGAATAAAGCTAATAAAACCTTGTAAAAAGATGATTTTTTTTTCATCAGGATCGAATTTATTTGTGACCCATGATCAAAGGTATACTTGGTGTTGTCGCCTGTCTTAGTTTTCGGGAGCGTTCCAAAAACACCTGTATATATATATATATATATATATATATATACATCTCACATACATTTTCGTCGGAGCGTCTATAAAATACTGGTTGGATCGAGGTGGAATTGAGGGTATATCGAGAACCCTCCACTTGTTTGTGCAGTATTGTAATTGCATACACAAGAGCGCAAGTTGAATATCCGCTCTCACACTTTTATTATTTTAATTATTAACGCTATCCTGATGTATTTCCGAGATCAAAGCTGGGATCCTCTGTTGTAATCTCCAAGATATATATATATATACTCGTATGGTTTATTTATATATGGTTTTATTACCTCTGCATTGTCTTGGGAGTACGAGGATTGTCAAAGACCCCGCTTTACTTAGCTTTAGCATCGGCTAGTGTCAGTAAGAGGTAATAAAACCACATAAAATTAAAAATAATAAAATTTAAAAAAAATTTGGCCAAGTTCCTACCTATAGAGGTTTGAATACTGATGCTTATAACGTACTTAACGGGAAGCACAGGGCTTTTTTTACATGTCGTATATCTTTTTATATAAAAATTACGTGTCACGTTGTTTGTCCGCGATGGACTCCTAAACTACTGAACTGATTTCAATAAAATTTTGCACACTACGTTCAGGTTGGTCCAACTTGAGAGATAGGATAGTTTTTATCCCGATAAATGACCCTCAATATTTTTTAATACGAATTTAAGGATTTTTTATAGGACAAAAGGTCGTCGGAGAGGGCAGAACAACGTCTGCCTGGCGAGCTAGTAATATATAAAAATTACGTGTCACGTTGTTTGTCCTCGATGGACTCCCTAAACTACTGAACTGATTTCAATAAAATTTTACACACTGCGTTCAGTTTGGTCCAACTTGAGAGATAGGATAGTTTTTATCCCGATATATTTTTTATTACGAATTTAAGAATTTTTTATAGGACAAAAGGTCGTCGGAGAGGGCAGAACAACGTCTGCCAGTAAATTTTTATAATAATGCCAAAATAACTTATACTAATAGTTCAGATTCACATGAGGTCAGGTCATAGCTGCCTACCTGAAATTAAACGAAATAAAATGCCTGCCGAAAATTACTTACTACTTACCTAATTTCTTGAATATTAAATTTATAACTTTATTATCATTACTTGCCTTTAACTTAACACCATAAAGCTACACGATTAAGTTACTGCCTCATAAAAGCAACACAACACTCTGTAAGATATTACATTAATCAATCATGCTCAATTCCAATCACACATAGCTCAATCTAGTAAAAAATGTTGAGTAGGTACCAAGTAGTTACACATTCGGTGATTTAGTTGAATATTTAACCGTACATGTATAATGTATATCCAGTTATGGAGAATCAGCGAGTGTATTTAACGGTTAACGTTACAATAGTACAGTTATAAAAAAAATATTATAATAATAGACCCATCGCGAACGGAAACCTTTTCAATTTAAAAAAAAATTGTTAAAATTTGGTGTTCATCAGTGCAAAGCCAAGCAGACCAGCCTTCAAAACAGCAGCTGTTCACATGTAGGTAGCTATAACGCAGCTATCGCCCTCCTGGAAAATATTTAAGAGAAGTGGACAACACGTCACCTAACGTCTCTGCAAGCAGGGAGAGGAAATAATATTTTCCATACTTGCTCTACTCTACAAATGATGCAATAAATGCTAAATATTAAGAAATGAATTTGCAATATTACCACTAGCGACATCTATTAATGCGTTAATAAACCGTACTCGAAGCAAAAGGTTAGCACTTTCATTGAATGCTTTTATTTTTCACAGAGGGCTCTCGGTCTACTCGTACCTATACTACGTAGTACTATTATTTATTCTGTGCCTATACAACAGAATAAATAATAGTACAAGCCTATAATAAGTTCTCAAACATGTAAGCGGAAAAATAATTTAACTTTTCATAGGATAACTGGATAACAAACAATCACATTTGTCCATCCGATGGCAAGTGGATACTGTGGTCTATTAGACATGTAGATATCTATTTTCCATTAAGAATCAAGATGCAGATGCGTTGTCACCACTGCACTGAAGACTAAGATAGAATACCTCGTTTCCGGTGAAATAGGTCTTGGCCTCTCTACACTCACTATACTAAGCACAGCGGAATATAACTGCTATTATACGCTGGTAATCTGTGACGGGCGTGGCCCTTTCCCCGGTTAAGCTGACCTATTCCTGCTACAACCATAATATAACTGCAGCGTAGCTCTATCACGTATAAACTGAGCACTTGTTGCATTTTTTCTTATAATACAATTAATTAACAAAAAGACACCCCTTTTACATATCGATCAAACAATTAAATAAACGATGATACAGGAGCAGCATTCCGTCGGCGGTTAAATTCCTACCATAACTTATACAGACATTATTACACTTTAGATTTAATGCAGAGCCAAAATTATGTAATACGGTAATATTAAATATCTGTGGTAAACAAAACATTGAAACCAAAGAGAATATAATCACAACGTTTAATTGAAACGTTTTGAAAAATTAAACGCTGACTACGAAAGAAAAAGAAACAAACAACGTCAAAAAATAAGCGTCGACCACGACTGTCGGTCATAAGTGCTCAAAGTGAGAAAAGCTCAAAGTTTTAAAATGTTATTCAAGTCATTAGTAAATGGAATGATACGTTCCAGAATAATGACTTTACGGACCCCGAGACTCATCAGACGAAATTATCGCACGGAAGGACCGCCTCAACCTTTTGATAATTTGCCCTTTTCGATCCCTAACAGGTATAAAAATCAAGAGTATCTATCTACTTACTAGTAACTTAATTATCATATAGTTCTACTCCCCGCGGTATCGTGCCAAGAACGCTGGCTACCTTTTCCTTCTCCTCTTTGAGCGAGAAAAGAACCAGCTCTCTTATCACCAGCATCAACGACCAGTCGCGGATTTAGAATAAAAGATAAAACAAACATGTTTATTCATTGTTGCAGCTTTCTTTTATAAAACATTATAGGTATTTACATTTCGATTCTTAATCGTAGATCGAAGATCCTTGCCAACACAAAATCTACTTTATATCAAGAAGTGGACCGTCTACTTTTCTCAACCTCATTTATATTTTTAAAATCTAGCAATGTAAAGGTTGTTTTTAATTATCAAGATATTGCAATTGAGTCTAAGGTACAGTTTGGAATTTCACTCAACATCAAATAAATAATAAGCTAAGGTGGCAGAAGTCTATTTCTGCCCAGGAGCTCGTCTGGGTAGGTACCACCCTCTTACCTATTTCTGCCGCCAAATACGAGGGCGGCACTGAAAGTTTTAGGACTGGCAACTTGTAAACGATATGATAACATAATAAGTTCAAATTTTGAAAATGGATCTCTGAATTGAAAATTTTTGTACAATGATTTTTATGACATTTCATATCATTTAAGTCAACAAGAAAGTTATGATAGACTTCGATTAGCCTTTCACGATGAAGCCCCATCTCGTGCCACTGTTTAAATGTGGTCGCACTAATCTCACCGATGATCTGCGTGAGGGACGGACTTCTACGGCGACGACTGAAGATAACATCAGTGTTGTGCGGCCTATGATAGAGACTGACAAAAGAGTGACTTATCAGCAGATTCGGACAAGCTTAGGCATCGGTATGAGTCAAGTGCACAAAATCCTCCATGAACATTTAGCGGTCAGAAAGCTTTGGCCCAAAAACTCCGTCGTGTTGATTGGTGTCGTGAAATGGTTCAAAGATCTAACGGAGGTGACTCTAATGCTGTGTTCGACATACTTACTGGTGACGAAAGCTGGATTTATTGTTATGAGCCTGAAACTAAGAGACAGCCTTCTGTTTGGGTTGGCAAGGAGTTGCCAACTAAAGTGAAGAGGAGTCGAAACGTGGGAAAAAAGATGGTGGCCGCGTTCTTCGGAAGGACAGGTCATTACACAACAATTGTTTTAGAGGATCGAAAAACAGTTACTGCATAGTGTCTGCCACTTGTCTTGGAAAAAGTTCGGGAGAAACGACCTCCGATTTCCGAAAATAAAAGAAAAACTTCGAGAAAAACGTTTTATAGTCGCCGATAAAGCAGTGGCTGCGTTTCAAAATGCCGTCGAAAAGACCAGAGCGAAGATGCAGCGATGTATTGATGTAAATGGACACTATTTTGAAAAGATATAATAAAACTAATAAATGGCTAGTTTGTTCAGTTTTTGATTTTCTAAGAACTTTCAGTGTCACCCTAGTGGCAGTGCCTGCACTGCGGTGTTCAGCATTGAAGAGTATAAAGAGACAGGATAATTAATAATAATTAAAGATTAGACAAGATAAAAATTAAAATAAATAAAAATAATAATTACAGGATCTAAGGCCTTCCTTAGTCCTCAGACACAGAAGTATAATTCATCTGTAACCTTAGCAGTGTAAAGTTGTTTGCAGGTGTCCATGGGCTGCATCTTACTATCAATTTGACAATAAGTTCGTTTGTCACGTAGATAAGTTTTAAAAAAAATTCTTGCACAGCCTATAATTACACCACAGAATAAATAATAGTACAAGAAATTACCCTTTAGGACGGTACGTTAGCTGTGGATTCAATGCTGATTCACGGCATTAAGTAAATATAGAGGGCGGTACGAGCGTCTCTCAAAGTACTTAAGTATTTATCGCCTCAAAAAAAAGGTTTTTTACTTCCTTATATTTTAGGGCTAGTCTTTCTAGATCTTTTCCTAGTTCTAAAATACGTTAACTCTACACAAGATTGACGTTGACTTTCAAATTTTTTTTTATAACAGTGCAGTGGGGTAAGCGGCTAATCTGATTCTAATCTGATAGTAAATGATGAGCGCCGCGCACCAACAAGCGCACTACCAGCGAAATTTGCGATGAATTTACCAGACTTTTAAAAAGGAATATCTTTTCTTTAGTTGTATTGGGGATAGCTTACACGCTGGGGTCGAATTAGTTATGTGTGTAGAGATAGATGTTGACTGTATGTATTTACTTTACTTCGATAGCTCTAATAAGGGCTTTATAAGAAAGAAAAGGTGGGACGATTTACAATAATATATGATGGAGGACCGAGCTCCTTGGTGTTTTTAAAAAGTGTGACGTCAGCACAGCTGTACCTGTTGAGTAAGTGCTTCGATATCTACGGTTTCCTTGTCAATATTCACCAAGCTGAGAAGTTCGGGAGGTACACAATGCTTTCGTTGTATAATTAGTGTCAATGGAGCCACGCCTGTGACACGATGAGTTGTATGTACAGTTTATTGCTAATTGCAGTTCCTCAAGGGTAGTGTGCCACTGCTCTGCTTCGTATTATTCGATTTTAATCATCACCAATGCATTTTTGAGAGTTGCAATGACCCTTTCTACTTGACCATTCGCTCGGCTAACTCCTGGAGGTATGACGTGAATATTTATTCCAGCATGGTCGCAATAGTCTTTGAACTCGCCAAGGAACTCCCTTCCTCCATCGACTATTACTTGAATTGGTGTACCGAATAGATGTACAGTGCGTTTCAGAGCAGCTAATGTATTGTGTGGGTTCTCGTTGCTGGAGAAGTATAGCAGAACGTACTTCGAGAAAGCGTCAATGATAACTATGACGTACTGCTGATCCTCTGGAGTGCCTAGCTTTCCAGATATATCCATATGAATAACTTGGAAAGCAGCCATTGGTTTTTGTATTGGGTGTAATTGGGCTTGTATAGTACCAGATCTTCCTTTGGATGTTCGGCATATTACACAATTGTCTACAAATCTTCGGACAGTAGAACTCATTTCGTTGAACCAATAAATTTCTCTGATCTTTGGTAATGTTATTTTTCCCCAGCCAGGATGTTTCAGTGCGGTGTGAAAAGAGTTGGAATACTCCATTGGAAGGTCTTGGGGACAACTGTGCTAAGTTGTTGACCGAAAACAGGATCGTTCACTTGTTTCTACAAGACGTTATCCTCCAAGACACAGTTCTATACTGGGTTATTCTCACTAAAGTTGTCGATTATAGGTCGCACTTCATCATCAGTTCAAGTCTCTTGTCATAATATTGACTGCAAACTCAGTCGGGTTCCAACGATGAATCCTCGGTAAAAGGTCCTTCTTGTACTTGGACGCTTTTGCATTGCAGTCTGTTATCACCATGAATTTTCGCCCACATAAGTACTAACGAAAGTGTTTTATAGCACGTACCACTGCTAACGTTTCCAACTCATAGGAGTGGTAGCGGCTTTCTGCTTCAGTGGTCCTCATACTCATAAAGGCAACCGCATGTTGACGTTCCTAACAATGACGTCAGAGCTCTGTTGATGCATCGCTGATTGACAATTGGGTTATGACCTAACTTCGTCCCGCTGGATGTAATTGTCACATTCAGATTGGTATCTTGAATCAGGTTCATACCCACTAGGATATCTGTTGACATTTCATAGGCAGGTAACACATAAAACTCCAGCTCAATACTGATGGTATATATGGTTGTAAGCTTAGTTAAAGGTAGTGCTGGAAATTGTCCGATACCTTTCAAATAGTCGACTGCTGAGCTCCTTTGACCAGGTAGAACTATAGCAACCGATTCTCGCATGATTGAACATTCTATCATACACAGCCCGCAATATCTTTTCTCCTATTTTGATGGAGATAGGAGCTAGCTAAGATCGCTACTTAGTTAACGTTTGAAGTCAACGAGCGTTCCTGTTTGAAGCGGGTTTCATAAATGTGACCTGATTTATTGCAATAGGTACAGGTAGGTACAGTTTGTGCTTTAGCATCCTTGTTGCCAGCTTCGGGTTGAGACTCCGAAGGTTTAAATCTGCAATCATTTGTTGAGTGGTTTGTCTTCTTACATATACGTCAGCTTGATGTTGATTGTTGATTGTCCACAAATTGTAGACGTTTGTTAGGTATTGTGGAACTTGCGTTCACATGAGAACACTTCTTCCGTATAGATGTAGCCGCTGGAATCAATTCCGACACAGTGGTTGCTCTGTCGTACAGTAATGCGATGCGTAAATGCTGGTTATTGACACATCCAATCACTGCCTCTACGGCGTGCTCATCTCCTAGCTTGTTCCTTGGTGACCCTTCTCCATAGGATCCATGACCGTGATAAAAACTGCGCAATATCCTTTGTCGAATCGTAAACATGTTCCATAATCACAGCGATGTCTCGGGAGTCTCTGTTCTCAGGTTTAAATGTGGTGATGATGTTCTTCCGTAACTGTTCCCACGTACCAGTAGTCACCATCCAATCATCGATCTACATTTTCGCGATCCCTTCAACAGGCTGCAGACTTTCATGCGGACGTCGAAGTCACTCAGCTTATATGCTTCAATGGCTTGGTCTATATGCTGACACCATTCTCGTACTCCGACGCGAGTATTCGGGTCAAATGATGGCACGTAAATGTCTTTGATCCTTATTTTTGATTCAGTGGGTGGAGCGCACAAACATTCTGACATTTTCTGCATCATCTCCATCATTTGCATAAGGAATTGTGGTGTTATCCCATTCATCCGCATTCCTTGATCAGGGTAGGTATGTGATCTTGATTGTAGTATGGCTTCCATTGGCGGATTGGTTACCAGCATAGACTCTTCATGCTGGTTGTCAGCTGGTTCTAGTTGCTCAGGTGGTAAACGAGCTGATGAGGAAGTGGCTTGAGTAGGGATCTCTTGATATCCACGGAGGACCGAGCTCCTTGGTGTTTTGAAGGTAACGTTAGTGACGTCAGCGCAGCTGACATCACTAATGTTATTTTCATGATGATCACTCATCTT